TAATAAAAGAGTTTCTTACCTAATAGTTAATTAGAACAAATTTTCTTCTGCATAAAGAGCTGCTTTTGAAGTCAAAGCTGTCTTCAAAAACTTAAAAAAAGTTGTAGGTGAAAAAACAATTAAATTAAAATAAAAAAAAATAGTTCTTATAAGTAAAATCCAATGATAACTGCTGCAATATAATTGTCTAATGTGTGATGAGGGTGAAGGAGAGAGTGAAAGAATGTAGAAGCTAAAAAAGCGACAGAAAATTAAGAGGATTGTTATTAAATTGGGAAAATATACTAAAAGTAAGAAAATTGTAGTTTCAAGTTTATAATCAGTGCGAAGTCAGAATTAGAATAAGGTCTGGAAAATGTAAAAAAAGTGTCTAAGGCACTCGCATTCATTTGCGAACAATTTTGTGGCAGAGAGACACTCTGCTTCGAATCATACAGTAGATCATGTGAATTGATTTGCATGGTTATCTATAGGATTATTTGATAGATGCTGTATTAGCAGAAATTTAATTTATGTTGATATGGCATCCAGATATAACAATCACCATGCGTTACCGTTTCGATGATGGTGGGTGGGGGTTTCCACACTTGTAAGTCAAATGACACCGTCAATCATCTTTAAGTCGCCCCAGGGGTTGAAATTCACTCATAAGGGGGTGACAGGAAGAACACAGGCGCCACGGCAAATAATAATAATAGCCGTCCCTTTCCCGGACAAGCTCAGCTTTTGGAGTTAAAATTCACTCGTAAGGTGGTGAATTAGGGAGAATATTATTATCCAATATTAGAGAATCTAATTTTCTTTTAGTATATTTTTCCCAACTGACATAGCAGGTGAAACATCCTATGCATTATTGTTATTAGTTAATAACCTTCCGCTTACTTTTATATCGCTTTTATTTAGCTTTTCCCACTTTCTTCGCCTCTCTCCTTCTCTACTGTTGCAGTTATAACTTAATTTTAATTTTATTAACAATTTTTTTAATTGAATGGTTTTTAATCTACAACTTTTACTAATTTTATGGATAAAATTTTGAAGTTTTTAGAAGACTGTCTTCAATTCAAAAACAACTGTCTATGACAAATAAAATTTGTTCTAATTAACTATTAAGTACTTTTTGAACTGAAAGTAGAAAGTCTCCTATTTTTGGGCCTGATAATGGCGCCCACTGACTAAAACTAGACGCCATAATCACCAAAATATGTGGCAAATGACAAAGTTTTTTTTTTATGTTTGCCTGTCAATAGAAAAGGGGTACCACTTCACTAGTGTGATATTTATACTTAATAATCTTATTTCTTAAAGAAGCGTATCAACAAAATTTACTAGACTTAATTAAATATTTTTTAATGAACCTTGGTAAAATTATTTAAACATTTTTTTATTTAGTCTACAGTTAGACAACTTTTAAGATTAGATAAATAAGCCAACTGGGCATTTAATAGAATCCATATATCTGAAAACCAAATGTTATGCCAAACAATGACTCGCACGAATTTATGAAAATTATAAGTCGTTCAATTTAATAGTTTTTCATACAATCATTTTACTTATAGTATATAGCTAATCAATTCAAATTTAACCATACAGTAATCACAGTGGAAACTTTTTTGATTTTAAGTAACAAAAACATTTTTTTTTCTTTTATAGTTCTATATTGTACATAGTCCACCTTTATTAGTCGGGCAACGTAAGCAAATTGTACACTAAAATGTACATAAAACTATTTATAAAATTGTAAAAAAATGTATAAGAGAATTATTTTTATATACATGTTAAAAAAAATTGTTAAGTGTAATTAAAGATTTTATTACTTGGCATTTCTTTGTCTGATTTCTTGCCTTTTTTATATTTTATGGATTGACCATGAAGTTAAGTACGCTATACAGAAAGAGACCTCTACTTTTCGTAATTACGATTTCTCCCATCAGTCACATCTTGTAATAATAATAATAATAATGTTTATTTACAGATAACTTGTTATTACAGTAATACGCTAAAATAAAAATTATAAATATTGTAAATAAACACAGGCGACTCATAAAACCTAAAGGTTGTGCATGGGCTTGATAATTTATTTAAATTATTTACTTTATTTATTTATTTTTTTTTTTTTAACAGCATTATAATGTACATATAAATTATATTTATAAGGTAATGTAATGTACCTAATGTTTTTTTTAAACTTAATTCGAATATTTTTAACTAACTACAACTATCTACCAAAGAATGTAATATATTTCTATCGGTAATTTTAAGAAATGATTTTATTCTAGACTTAAAAAGATTATATGAATTTAGTCCTTATGTATAATTTGTAAATATCTGGACAAAAGTTATAATTTTTTTTTGATAACTCAGTTTCCTCTGGTACCTAATGCTTTTTTGGCAATAGGATTTCTAGTGTTTCCTGCATGTCTAGTTCGAGTCTCATAAGTGTATTCAATTCCACAGATTGAAGATCTATTTTTGTAAAGATAGTTTGCAACATTATAAACAAAAAGTTGTCGAATATCAAAAATTTGTGTTTCTTGAAACAATATGTTTGAAGGGTAAGTTATATCTTTAAAATACATTATTTTAATTTTTTTTTTTTTTTGAATGATCTCAAGTTTTTTAGGTGCGTCGGAAAAACTAAGCCCCAGACTAATATGGCATATGATAAACGTGACTCCACAAATGCGTGATATAACATTTTCAGGTGAGTTATGTCTTAAACAATTTCTCATATATTTAAGTTTATATAAAACTAGTCTTAAATTATTTACAATGTTATTTATGTGTTAGAGACCTCCAACAGCAGCACATGACATACAGTGTCGAAGGACTTTACCACGTCAAGAAAAATACACATCGTGGGAACGCTTTTATCTTTATTACTGTACAACATATCTGTTAGATGACACACAGCATCAGTGGTAGATAATCCGTTTTGGAAATCATATTGCTTTGAACTTATATTTATCAATGTATTTAGTTAGTCTATTTTTCAAAGCTTTTTCCACGATTTTTGATAAAGTGGTAATTAAGGAAATAGGTCTGTAGTTACTCATTTTATTTTTGGGTCCTTTTTATGAACTGGGATATCCACTGATTTTTTTAAGGTCAGTGGGAAAAATTCCTGTACTATGTATTGCAGACGTCCTTTACAATGATAAGAGATTGTTTATACAGATACGAAATTTTCAACAAGAAAAATATAACTTACAATGAGTTGAACAAGCACATATCAGGCAGACTGTAAATCTGTCTGATGCATGTAGTGGGACTAGTAGAAATTATATCAATGTTCACTGATAGAATGTATCTCTGTTACATGCATATTCCAATTGAAGTTTGTTCAACTGATTGAGGTATACTTTCTGTATCTGTATAGGCAGTTCCAGTTGGTTATCTTAATTATGTCTAGGAGAGTTGGCATAATTATTTTTATTTATTTGTTGTTTTGCATAAGGAAGAAATTATTAGTATTGCCCATCTGCTAGCCGGATGAAAGTTATTTTTTAGTAAATAAAATGTTTATAAATATATCGCAAATGGGTTGCCCAAGAAAATACTGTCAATATTATTTATTTTCTTAAAGTAAAAAACACGACACCCTATAAAGTATCTTCCAGATGCTTCGACTATGCCCAAAATTTAAGCAGATCACCGCAAGATGGATAAAAGCTCGAGTTTAAAATTTGGCGTTTTCCTCTTTATCCGTTTTCAATAAAATTCGAAATTTGCACTTTCCCTTAAATTCGGTTCATTTAGGGAAGTCATGTATATAAGATTTATAATATTACAAGCAACTTATATCATGATTCCTATACTTTCGTTATCTTTATTCAGAAAGGAAAGCAAAAATATCCTTGACAGTATTTTTTTAGACATTCTCTTTGCGATATATTTATTAAAAAAACTTTTCATCCGGTAAGCAGATGGGCGAAGGTCGACCTTACTTCGTATCCTCTACTAACAGGTTTAAGTTCGATCGAGCTACCAACTTGGATGAATTATGTCAAATTATACAGTTTAATGCTCAAATCACATCCAAGCAACTCACTCAATACTATGAGAATAGAATTATAATAGGTTTAGTTTTTGTTTAGGCCAAGCTGGTGGTTTGTTTGAACCACTTTTGCATTTGCATGTCTATAAATTACACATTCAGTGGATATTGGGATGTCCACTAGATATCCAAAGGATTTGGTGTGCTGTCTAGGTCAGTTTATAAATCACAGTGCCTTACTGTTTCGATAATGGTGAGAGGGGTTTTCCTCACCTCAAATGTCATCATCAATCATCTGTAAGTCGCCCTGGAACGCCACGACAAATAATAGCCTTCCCTTCACCGAAAAAGTAAGTCGGCTATTTGGGTTAAAATTAAATAATTTTGGCATTAATAATCAATTTATTAAAGCCCTCGAGCTAAAGCTCTCGGGCTCGTAATCAGATTATTAATGCCAAATTGATATTAAAATATTCTCGAGATTTAGATTCAACAAAAATAGCCGACTATTATCAAGGTCTTGGTATATTACGCGACATACATGGGGTACGTTTGTACTCTGCAATGAATTTCGCCTTTAAAAAAAATAATTCTTTCAGTGCAATTGTCATGTATGTTTTACAATATAAAAAACAAATTATAAGTGAAAAGAGTCAGAATACTAATAAATAGACTTTAAATGGTTTTCATATTTTTGTTTTGCATTGACTTATTTAAAAAAAAAAAACAGGTAAACTTAAAAAACAAAAAACTGCATTTATACTTGGGGTACAAATCTACCCCTCACTGTATTCTATGTAATTTTTTTAGCACCGTACGACGAAGGTTAAGTGAGCTCCGTTTTTTTACAAATATCTATTTGTTCTCTAAAGTTTAAACTACAATCGACAGATGTCCCAAGAAATTTAGTTTATATCTTATTCATTTTCCATTTTGTATACTGGTATTATTAGATTTTTAATAAAGGAATTCATAGATAAGGTATATGGAGAGAAAAGATTATTATATAGTTTCGTCGTCAACACTTTAGAAGATAATTTATTGGCCAAAATAAAATCTGATTTAGATTACCTACGAAATGCTAATAATTATCTTCTGAATGTGATGATCCTTTATTTGAGTCTCGCATAGTACACACGTACAAAAAAACCACAAAAATCCATTTAAACAACTTTACAACAAATCTCAGTTAAACCTAAGTTATCATTGCATTGATTTTGCATAACAATAAAGTATTAACTAGCTACTTAATAAATATTCTGAATATAACTGCTAATAAACAATATTGTAAAGAAGAAAAATTGATGTTACAAACATAATTTTATAAAGTCATTTTAGTAAAATTGTAAAATATAACTAGATATGCCATTTGTTAACGATTTTTTTGATAAGTTCTTTACTTCTTTCCATTTAGTGATTTGTAATCCAAAAATGTTTGCTTCATGTCTGCTAACGCTTCTTCGATTTTTTTAGCAAAACGGTGACAATCCTGAAAAAGATAATAAGTCAAATGTATAAATCAATACATGATTTTTTTCTGCAATTTTCTTGGATTTGACAAATTATGAAATAATGATATGGTATATTCTGTTTAAAAATACTTACAGTTGTCGGACAACTTTTCTTGTTAGATATATGGAAGAACAGCATATCTTCACCAGCAATAATGTAAGATACACCATATCCATCATCGGCTACAGGTCCAAACCCGCCTCCAGCCGAGATACACTGCGGATGTTTCTTTAGATCGAGACGCGTAGTCTGACCATGCGGCGTTTGAGACGTGGATAACCTCCACGGTTCGCTTAGTACCTCTTTGAGGAATGGAGAGTCCACCTCCAAATATTTCGAGACTACGTACAGACAGAAGAGGTGTCTGTCTATACCTTTGCCGCACATGGCGTCTTGGTATCCTGCCTAAAAATAAAAAATCTAAATTACTTTTCAGAGTAAGACAGTTAATATACAGTCATGAACAAAATTATCGAATATTTTTTATTATCACTTTTATTATTTCAAAATAATTTTGGATTATCTCCATAAACTTTTACATATAATGTCATTCATCTATTAGGTGAATATAATCACGTGTCATAAATACTTTGACGTTTATTTAATATTAATGGCAATGGCGATTTTTGTTTCTCGCGCTTTCTGTTACTTTATTTAAACATCTATGATTCGTTTTTGCATTTTTCTTTATTAAAAACAACACAGTACCTATGCCCACCAATTAGACAATGTAATAAAGATGATGCGATACAAAATGTAACTCTACAGTCAAAGGATTGAATTGAAACAAAAAATTAACGAAGTCAATTTACTGTATTGAAAATTTTACAAAGGTTTCAACAGACTAATGTCCGAAGACCCGGTCCCTAAAATAAATATAACGTAAAATCATTTACCTGGTGACTTTTGCAGGCTATCCTGAGTAGCTTAATTTTGTCTTCTGTAGTCGATTTTTTATCGTCCATGGCCTTCACCCAGGCGACTGAATCTACAGAAAGAGGACGGAGCGTTTCTGTGCGACCTTCCCTGCAAAAAAAAATGTTAGTTCATTGCTCTAAATGTCTGTTTTTTTTTGTCAAAATATTTATATCCCAGTCAACCTCAAAGGAAAAACCGCCATACTTCATTTTTAAACAAGGAGGAACGAATTGAGAAATCGCATTTGCACCGGGAAAAGTTACTAGTTATCATTTTAGTCAATGGCAAATTTGAATATTATTTTTGAAGCATAAAGTTTCAAAACTTTATGAATGCATTAAAGTTAATATTTTTTTATTAACTAGCAGACCCGCGGGCAGACGTTGTCCTGCCACAGTCCTGGATCACGACAAAAGTGCTATTTACCGGGTCCAACTATAGCTAAGAACCATCCAGGTATGTCTAGAATTTTCTGAAGAATCCAAAAATTGAAAAATATACAGGGTGTTGCATTTTAAATAAGAAAGTTGGTATTGGCCACTGTTACATGACATACCCTGTATAAAAAGTTTTTGTTAAAAAAAGCGCAACTAAAAATACCAATCGACGTATCCAAGCGTTTTTCCGAACACGCCCTCCCATTTATTTATTACCGAATTTATTCCATTTGGCTGTTCCACAGTGTATAATGACGTTGATAAATAAAAATTAACATTCTGCTCACATAATTCATAACCGAAATACTAGCCATATTGTTATACCTAAACATAGAACAAATCCCTACACAAGATCACTTTTCATAAAACGCAGTCAATATCAAGGGTGCATATATGGGGGGGGGGGGGGGGGGGGGGGGGGGGGTAATTACTCCCCAAGAATCTTTAAACCTTTTATAGATACTAAAATGTATTATCAAAAATAAAGTCTTAAATATTACCACTACCATCCCAGAATTAAACTATATTACCACTTAAACTCTGGATGCGCCACTGGTCAATATCTACAGAGTGTCCTATTAAGAATAAATATAGAAAAACTGAAGATGCTCTGATTAAAATAAGACGATTAAACGAAAAATGCTTAGGTAAAATGTTTTTAAGTTTCTGAAATACAGAATGTTACAGTTGAAAATTCAAAAATTATGATTGATTATAATTCTTTTGTTAGAATCCGATTACAATAAGAACAACACCGCTGCATCATAACCATATATTATTTCTAATTTCAAATATATATTATCTATAACTCGATAAAAAAAAGAAAAGTAAGTTGTTAAAAATATCTTTAAAACACTACGCTTACTTAGTTACTTGATCTTTTATTTGTTATTCTTTGCCACAATCCTGACTCTTGCATCCACTATATAACATTTTTAGATTTTGAGATCAATAACAGTCTATAATAGTCGTGGAGAAAGTATAGTCTTTAACTCGCATAGAATATGGCTATTATTCTATGCTCGTTGAAGAATATACTATACTATATTCTTAGCTGTATTCTTCTTATTGTAATCGGACCGTACTAAATTCGGCATACCTTTTTGGTATCATAAGATAAGTAATAATAATAATATATTTCACGATTGCAGTTTATATCATTTTCTTTTTTAAACAGAACATACTGTTCAAATATAGAATACATGATACACCTACAAACAGAAAAATCAGTTAAATAAACTTTGCCAATGGCGAACGGCACGGGTAAGTAACACCTTCATCCGTTGTACAATTTATGCCACTGTCCAAAAACTTATTTGGACAATATTTTTAAAATATCACTTTGAATTTTGGTTTTTTTTGCTCATTTTTCCATTTTTTTTTTTTTCAAATAAAAAAAGGATAATTGGTTTTATTGGGAAAACATCATTGGGTGACGTTTCTGCTTTATTGCTTAAGTACCGATGACTTCTAACGAAAGATTCACCATATGCAGCCATTTTTCATATTACAATCCCAACTGCCCTGAGAGTTTTTCCATTGTTGCTATGTCCTGATGGAATCTCCCACCACGTTCTTCACTGATGTCGCCCATATTTCCACTGAAGAAATTCAAGTGAAGTGAAGCAAGTTTAACTTTAGGGACCTTCAGCAACCAAGCTTTTTATAACATTTCAAAAGTTTTGTAACAATAACTTGGTACTGTGAAGACTTTTTATTTTCAAGAAAGTTACCTACTACTTCCCTAAAAATTTCTTTTAACGGACATAATTTTTTCTTCAAATTCCTTGGAATTAAATATCTTACAAACATCCAGTCCAGTATAACGCCCACCTTCTATTTTAGATCTTGACCTTTTTGGAAACAGAACGAAAAAGTATTGGAATGACTCCAATACTTATTGAGTGTTTTTAAGAAAGGTTTGACTAGTCCGAGTTTAATATGAAACGGAGTTTTAATTTTTTTTCTTCTGATTTTACTAATGACGGATGTTTAATGTTCTCTACCCCAAAAATTGTAAACTATAGCCATAAACACAGGAAACAGGAATTTATGGTGTAACCACCCTGAAGACCTTTAAAACAAAGCAATCATTTTGAAATCACCCTAGACCTGTTATTCATGTTTTTTTGTAATGAAGTATTTCCAAAAGAATATTCACATTTTTGTATTTTTTTACCAAATGGACTGAATGACCAATGTGTATCGACAGATACATGTTTCCACTATGAATAAAAACGAATTTTAAACTTCGCCAAGAGATATCTACGAAAAGCCGCCAATCCTGGAGATGACTTTCAATACCAATCATTAACATCATGACAAACTCTTTTCTACTGAAAACTATGTGCACAATCTCTGGTTTCTTTCTCCGACAAGTGTAACTCTGCAATTGGAGTCAAAGAGATTCCATTTTCCTTCAATCTGGATGTCAAAATTTTTGCATTTGATTTATTTAAACCAAGATATATGATTAGATCGTCCATTTCTTGTTGATTAAGAAAATGAGGGTTCCTTGTGGTGAAAATACATCACACCTTCTATTCTCAGATTGGAAGTTAAGACGATGACTTATGTTATTTTAAATATATTGATTATCACTATTTTTTTGACTTTGAACCTTTATAAAACATAAATAATTTTTAAATGGAATCTCATATTACCATCGATAACAATTCAGAAGTGGGATTGAATTTAATTTCTACAATGAATAACGATAAAATTGAAGCCAGTAGTCAAAATGATGGGTATAAATACAAAAAATATAAAGAAAAGATATACTTCGAAAATTATGAGGTTAGAGATATAGTAGTAATGAAAAAAAGTATAAGAAAATTCGGGAGAGCCAACAAAAACTCAATCTAAGTACAGAAGACAAAATAGGAAAATATATCTATAAAGTAGAAAGTTTTAGATAAAGAGGATAGAAGTAAAGTTTTCTGCACTAATGTCTATGCAGTGTTGTCAAATCATTGAACTAAAAAAATTAAAAAAGGATATTAAATTACTTTTCAGTAATTGAATTACCTTAATTCAATTAGGTTTTTGAAACCTTAGAATTAATTAGTACTTCAATTACTTTCTAGAAAGTAATTGTAATTGGTAATTACTTTAAAGATATTTGAGTAATTGAATTATTTTTTGAAGAATTCAATTCCATTATAGTAATTCAATTCATTTATTGTATTTCAATTACCACAAAATATTCAATTCCCATTTAAAAATTGTAGAAAACCGTAGTGCGTTACTGCTTTCTGTTTATTTGTGGTTGGCTTTTATGAATATTAAAAGGCTTATATTATGCCGTTTTCACTAGTTTTGGCGTAACTTTTTTATTTTTAACCGACTTCAAAAAAGGAGGAGGTTATCAATTTGTCGCGATATTTTTTTTTATGTATGTTCAGCGATAATTCTTTAACACGGTGTCCGATTTCAATAATTCTTTTTTGTTAGAAAGGGGCTACTTCAGGGGTCGTCCCATATAAATTTCGTCAAAATCTAATAATTGGGTCCATGAGAAAATCCTCAAACTCTTCATTTTTTATGTATGTTTAGCGATAATGCTTTAACACCTTGTCCGATTTATATCATTCTTTTTTTGTTAGTAAGGGGGTACCTCAGGGGCGGTCCCATATAAATTTGGTTAAGATGTGGTGATGGCATCTGCACGTTTTTGAAGTCGGTTTTTTTAAATTTTTAATTGAATATATTTGTATGCGGTTTGGAATTATTCAATTCATAATCAACCCCTCCTGGAGTGCGGAAAGTTATTAAATTTATTAAAACAATATATGTGCTTTTTATTTAAATAATTGAAGTTTATAGTTAAGCCAGAACAACTTTTATCATCTTTAAAGGTTGTGTTAGATAAACTGTATTAATAAAATTTCGATGAAATTAATATTATGATTTGTAGATGTAAAATTAAAAATTGCGTTCAATTCATCCGTCAGCTAGCGCCTCCTAGCAGAAATTATGCGAGACTTGCCGGTGGAATTGTCCCGGCGTGCATTTTGGTGAATCATTTGTAAAACGGCTACCGTTCATGGGCGTACGGAGAAATAATGATTTTACATGGAGAAATAAGTTATTAAAAACATACGAGTTTAAATTACTGGGATTATTTCACCAAACGTTTTAAAATACATTCACCAAAATCAAGTATCCTTGCATACAAGGTGTCCTACTATAAAGTAACACTTTGTAGCAACTTTATAATTATTCTAGATTAAAAATATATCGACGTGCGGTTGTCACGGCACTTTTTGAGTTTTCTAAAGTCTTTGTGGACGTTATTGGACATTGCTTATTTTTGGATCGTTCTGGAGCAGCACACGCTTCAAGAAGATACCAACCAAACAAAATTAGATGTTTTTTAACTAGAAGATTCACCAGCTTCAACTACGAAACCTAGCGGTAATAAGAAAAAAGTTGAATACCTTGCCTTCCTTTATCGTTCCCGGTAGAAAGGTTGTTCTCTTTTGCAGAAATCATTAATGCTACAAGGAGACATGCTTTATATCAATATTTCTTAAAGTGTGCTCTGCGGAGCCCTGGGGCTCCACAAAACCTCTGTGCGCGCTCCGCGAAAATAACAGTAAAAAAAATACTATGAGGAAGTTCGCCGCCACAAAAGGGAGGACCTGTTTAAGGACCTTTTTTTTAGAAATGTGGCGGGGCTCCGTCAAATATTTTGCTTTTTAAACGGGTTCCGTCGCCAAAAAAGTTTGAGAAACATTGATCTTCACTTCGAGCAACTGGTACTTATAAAGGCAAACTCCATTAAATATGTAAAAGACGTTTTTTTTTTTTAAATAATTGATTAAGAAATTACGCTGTTGTAAACCATCATTATTTTTGTAATATTATAATATATTAATAATTTAATAACTCATCGGTAATTCAATAAAATGGAATAATTCAATGAATTGCAAGCACTTTTGAAAAACTAAAGTAATTATTAATTTGCATAGTTTTTTGGTTGCCTATTAATTGGTAATTGGTACTTAATTACTTTGCAATGCTAATTGTGACAGCTCTATGTCTATGTATCTAACTTGAAAAGAAACCAAAATTTTTATTACAGTTCATCAAATTTCTAGAGGCTTTCGACGGCTAGACAGAGAAAGCACTACTGACAGGCATCCCGACGGATTTACGCAATGAAAGTACACTCTGCGCATCAAGTATTTCACTATTTCATTCAGACGTAAATGTCAGATGTAAATTTCGCTAAAACATTTCTTTTATTTTCGTTTGTGTTTTTTGCTCATTACAGTTTAATAGAACCTAAGTATGGAGTTTAATAGCAAATTAAGAGGCCGCGTGATTAACAGTCAATCTCGCGAAATAATAGCCAATGTTATAGAGTTTATGAGAAGAGAAGGAAACTTTAATTCACCTTCAATACCATTTAAAAATGTAAATGATCGTGTTGCTGCTGCCACAGGAGTATCTAAAAACAGTGTCGTCCGCATTTCTGGAGAGAAAAAAAGAATCGATAACCGTGAGATATCGGAATTTTCATCACCAAGAAAAACCATTAAAAAACCAAAAACAGTTAATGATATAGATGAAGCTGCACAAGAATCAAATTTTATTTTTTTATTATTAGATAGCTATTTTTGTTTCTGAGTTGTGTTCATTTACAGGCTCAATTTTTTTCCGTTTCTCCTTTTTGATTTTATATGGGGTTTCAAGTTGTTTTTGACTTATTTCGACGTAAATCACAACAACACACTTTTTTAATAAAGCAAACAAGTGTTAAGAGGTATATGTACGTGTAAACTACAATTACAAAAAATTGATATGAAACCCATGAAACCACCAACAGAAATGTAAAGCTAGCTTCCGTACTAGAACATGGTGTCATTCGTCGAGATAATTTATCGTTTTGTTTAATAGATCAAGAAATGTAAATATTCCCCTGTTATTTTTTATAAAATTATAAGAGAAATAAATTTTTTTCTAAATAGTATAGTTTATTATTTTGTAGAAAAACAAAATTTCGAAAATTTTAGTAATGTTTCAGAAACAACCGTTATTAATAATAGGTACCATTTTCCTTAATAAGGTAGAAATTTCCACGATTTACAAAGGCCTACAAAAAAATTATAGGTATTTTCCGCTATCCTATAAAATTTATATTTTCTGACTCAATTTCAAAAGGTTGAAGGAATTCCAAAACACCTTTTATGGCATAATAATTATTTTCAATTCTACATACTATCTTTAGCTGCTTTTAAAAACGTTCTAAGAAAGTCCAATCAGACCAATTTAATCCCTAAACTATTCCACACTTTTAAAATTTAATTACCTAAAAATATTAAAAACTATTTAAAATAACTTGTTTAGCAGACTGTACAATAGCTATCTTAGTCACACGTAGCGCGTTCTCTGTCTGGGCGTCGAACACCTCTAGAAATTTGATGAACTGTAAAGAGGACAATAGTGGTGAAGATATTCATACATTTAATGACATAGAAGAAGGTAAACAATACAAAGAAACTGAAGAATATGATTCACATGACAACTATGTAACTGAACAAGGTCTATATTTTGAAACAGAATTGCAAAATAAGTTTTAAAAAATCGACTTCAAAATCGTGCAGATGCCATCACTACATCTTGACCAAATTTATATGCAGTGGCGGCTTGTAAATAAGTGCAGTAGAGCTGCAAAACTGCCAAAAGAATGCAAGTATCTCGTCTACATTTCACAGAAATTATTTAGGACATTCTAAAATATACGTACCCTTGAGATGCTCCCTTACTAACAGTAAAAAGAATCATAGAAATTGGATAAGGTGGTAAAGAATTATCGATAAACATATATAAAAAATGAAGAGTTTGAAGATTTTCTCATGGACCCAATTATTAGATTTTGACCAAATAAAATCCTAATGGTAAGCCAATAACGAAAGATTCCTACCTCATATTTTCCTCAGTTTACACAGTCGGTAAAGTTAAAAAAAAATATCAACGTTATTACTGTAACGGCTTACTTAACAACCATTCGGAAATTCGGAACTGGAAAGCGAAGAAGAGAAAGAATTCGCTGGGATCTCAGCTTTATTTTCGCTCAGACTAATTCGGTTTACAAGTGGTTCGGAGTGGGAGTAGCAAGTGTTTACAAGTCAGAGGACTGAAAAAAATGGCCTTTTGACATTTGCGAAAATGACCAGATAATTTAGCTGAATTTGAGAGTTTAAAGCTGGATTCGAATTTTGGTAAAGAATTATATATTTTGAAGTAGTGGGGCTCTCGCAAATGTTTAAAACCAGAAATTTTTAAGAAATAAAAATACTTTTTGAGAACGCTAACAGGTGGAAATCGACTTGAACTAAACATTTTTATAATTAAACTAAAGGAAAATTTACTGACATTTTGGTTTATGTAAACTTGTATGTCAAATAGCCAATTAGAAACTAGCGTTTAGGAACGGGAAATTAAAATCGATCTTCTTAATTTAAAAATGAAGTAGATATAATCGATAGTGGATGGATGGTCGAAATTGCTGAAATAAAATATTTAACTTACCGATAAAGTCTAGTCATTGTGGCTTCATATGTCAAACAGAATTTACCAGCATCTCTGTAGTAAGCCAACTGCAGCGCCATCTGTATAAAAGCATCCGGGCTGACGCTGCAGGTCTTCATGAATCCTTTGCCGTAGTGGTCGTGAACAAAAATCCGCAAATTAATGTCATTAATGAGATCATTTACAACTTGAACAGATTTCTGAATAGCATCTTGGGCTGCAAATTTTAGTTCCCAGTTGAGACGAATTGGAGCTGGGGGTAGTATTTCAGGTTTCCCTATGGCGTCTCCCGATTCATCGTATCTAAAAGTTAAAATATAAATAACATTAGAATTGAAAATATATAGATACTTTGAAACTCGAAATGAGGATGAAGAAATATTTAACTACATTTTTAGTACTTTTAATTGCACACTAATTTAGCAATACAAAACAGGATAGCTAGTATTAAATTTTAAAATCAACCAATACGACTAAGTTTTCATTTTTAAAGTATCAAGACATTGAAAATCTTTCAAAATCGTTCTTTTTAACTCATAAGTTTGAAATTCTGCCAATTTTTTGAACCCTTTACTGGTTTGGCACTCTGCAGTAACGTAACTGGTCCGACGTAGTCTGTGAGACTACTTGTTTTCGGAGGGCAAAAAAAATAAAATAGGCAAAATGAAATGTTTCATTTAACATAGATGTTTTTTTTTTGTGTCATCGGCATCAACTGCTATGGTTATTAGCCTCGTGTTCTGTGTAGGCTTTGTTACTGTTTCCCAGCACTGTTAATTAGTACCCAAAAAGTGAATGGTCGAGTGGGGAATCCTACCAAGGCATCAGAATTAATTTTAAATAATTAAATTAAATTAAAAAAGCCCGGTCAACGATGGGATTCGAACCTGAGACCCTTGAATCCGCAGGCAGAGACTCTACCACTGAGCCACCCACCCCGACAACATAGATGTTAAAAACATTACTTAATAATAATAATATGTAAAAATAAACATATTTAAAAAAACTAAATTAAAACAAAATTAAACCCAAAACTATAACCCGCACAGAAATTTTTAAAAAGTACATATTTTTAAACGAAAGGCAAAAAATACAAGAAAACAAAAGAAAAATTCTTTCATATTGCAATATTAAATTGTCAAAGTGTTAGGTAAACAAAAACTTACATAAAATACAAATTTAAGAAAACATTTGATTTTCAGCATGAGCTAAAATTCAGTATCCTTGAACTAATTTCTGCCACAGCTTTTAGAAAACTGACGCCAGCCTGTCGCAAACACGGCTACCTGTCGAGCTACAATAGGGAAAGGATTAGATGTAAGGACCTTCCTGTGGGAGGTACCAATAACCAAAAAGAAAGAATTGTTTATATCGCGTAGTCTGTCAGACGACGCCGGACCAGTTAAGGATTAAAATAATTAAAGAAATGCCCCAGTTCAGATATTTTGTATTTGTTCTTGTAAATTGGTGTGTTACAATTTATATATTTTTTTTTCTTCAAAAAATTTTCACACATGTAAGACAAGCTGCATGCGGTTAGTCACAAGATGCTTCGAAATGTTAGTCTGTTAAGAAAAGAATTTACCGGTTACCAAAATACTCAGTCACTATGTTGTACTCCAAAAGGTGTCCAACAATTGGAGCATCAGCCCTACGTTATTAAAAATAAACAAAAAATATATTACACAAACCATCACAGCATAAAAAAAATAAACAAAAAAGAAATGAAAAGTAACAAATAGTTTCAGTCTGCATGCTAGAATAAATATAAGTTTTTTAATCTATCATTCTTATGTTTAATATATTTTTTTTAGTTTCTAAATTAGCATACAGACCAAAAATATCAAAAAAGAAAATAGAGCGAATAGCGAGTAAACAGCTTCAGCCACAGTCCACCACCTGTACAAAAAACAGTTATTTATATTACCGATTTTCCCACGTCTCCGCAGTCAGCACATATTCCCAAACGTGGGACATCACAGCTGCGTCTGCCCTAAAAAAATTTGATTTTCGTTAACAGCCACATGTATTAATTTTTATAAAATATTCCAATATAAATTTAATTAGTTACAAAATGTGACTATTCCATAAATATTATTTCGAGAATACAAGTAAAAGTAGTTGTGCAATGGCCGATATCTTCTCAGAAACTTTCATGTTGACTACAAAATGGAATGAGGTAAATCAAGAGGTTAAAAGGACTCGCATGCCGCCTCATTGTGAAAACATACCAAGGTATTTCGAAGTTCATGTAATTGAAAATTCAACAACCTCTTTGGTATCCTAGTTTTTAGTTTAAAAGAATTTGTTTCTGAAGATTTTTGCCCTTTTGTTGCCCGGTGCTGGTCAATTTGACCGAAACTAGTTGCAATTGAGAATAATAAAATATATTTGTGGTTCGGATTTTAAGTTTTCTCTCGTAAATAATGTTTTATGTATTGTTTGCGTAAAACAAGCAAATTGCGACTATTTTTCACGAAAATCTGTGGTTATTAATAACTGAATAAAACAAAAAAATGCCTACAAGGGCATTATTTTTAGTTGATAATCATACAAATATTTTGAGAGCTATTAAATCTGTTTTCGATTTTTGTTTCCGATTTTACACCTATTTCAAAAACTGGCCGCTTTTTACCATGTTACAAAATCGTATTTTGCATATCAACCGTTTTGTCAACACAAAAAATGCCTGTTATATCATCTTAGTACAATGATCGTATATACAGGGTATTCCATTAAAAATGGGACATAGAACAACTGAAGTACCTCTGATTAAAAATAAGACAAACGAAACATGCTTAGGTAAAATATTACTCGTTTCCAATAAAAGTTGAAAATTAAAAAATTATTACTGATTATAACTTTTTTAATTACTCAGTATAATTTTACTAAATGCGGCATACGTTTTTGGTGTCATAAGATATATCTTATCAGCAAAAAAATGAGATAAATAAACTTTGACAGTAACATACCGAATAGGTAAGTATAACACTATATGCCTTCTAAATTGTATGCCACTGTCCAAATAAATCATGTGCTCTTGTTGGAAACTTCAAAAATTCAAAATATCCAAATTTTAAAATAAAATAAAGACCTTTGAATGCCAATATCTCTAAAACCAATCACTTTATAAGTTCCCAAACAAGAGTACATAATATATAAAAAAAAAAAAAACAATTTTTTATTATCTCTATGCCAACTTTTACTTTTTTTTAACGATGTCCCACCGATATACATTAAAAATGGCATATGATATTGTCACAATCAGCATTTATGTATATTGTGAATATATAAATAAAAAAAATAAAATAAATTGTGAATAAAGTAGAACTGTGCCTTTGATGCACACCTACTCTATTTGTTGCAAACTTAGGCAATCATTAACCTAATGAATTGTTAACAATTACACAAGTAGCTTTTAAAAAGAATTAGTACAGTGCCACGAATTCCATGACGTTCAAGTATTTGCTGTAATTTACCTTGGTGTACAGTGTCAAATGCCTTCGCTAAATTTATTAATACTGAAATGCATTTTTTGTTCTGATCAACATTCTCTAAGATTCGTTTATAGCATTTACTTTCCTGAATGCCTTACTGGTGTTTAAACACGTTTCTACAATTTTTCCAAAAATTATTTATTAGACAGATCGGTTTATATAATTATTTTATTTTTATTACCACCTTTATAAATAAGGGTTACCATGAAGATTTTTGAAGTCATCCGGAAATTTACTAGTACTAAAAATTTAATTAATTGAATTATGTTTTTTGCTTTTGATCTTAAAAATTAAGGACTAATTTTTTTATCGTATCCAGGTGCACTTTTATTTTTAGTGAGTTAACATACCGTAGTACTTCATTTTAGGTAAATGGTTTTAAGAACTTTGAATTCTTATTTATAAGAATATTATATGTTATGTTGAGAATGGGGTGTTAATACACTGCGACCTAAAAGATCTATTGTGCCCCCTTCTATCACCACTGCACTAAGGAAATGTCTCAATGCCTATAGTGACCCTTCCAATCCTATTTTCTCAAGGAAGTTTAGGATTTGAAGTGGCTTCAAGTTAGTTAAATCTCCCTCTTCTATTTGATATCCTCCTAGATATAGTGCCCTTGGATTCTGGAGTGCTACACATTCAGTTAGGATAACGTAGTACTTCATTTTTGGTAAATGGTTTTAAGAACTTTGAATTTTTATTTATAAGAATATTAAGAATGTTATCTAAAATATTTAGGAATATATAAAAATATTTGGGAATTTTGATTTTTTTCTGTAATTTTGATTCCGATGTTACTAAAATACTCATTACAATAATTTCACGTTAATTTATTATTTGTAAATATATTATCACTATCATTTAATTCTTCTAACAAGATTTTATTTTTAGCTTCTTTATTTGTATCTTGTGGCCTCGGTTGTTACTTTACATGTTTTTGATATTGTTTTTATTCTGATTTATTAATATTTTGTAATAGTCATGTTTACATGTACTTAGTAATTTGTTTAGCTCATTTATGTATGCTTCATAACGACTTTCTAATTCTAGTGAAAAGTTTGTTTAGTTTTTTTTATTAAGTAAATCGTATTTTAATAGATTTTATGAGAACCTGTGTAATCCAAGAATTTTAATATTTTTGTTTCATTTTCTTTTGCGGTTTAAATGATTCTACTTTGACTAATTAAACGTCCAAACGTATCTGTGAATCTAAGTGTAGCTACTTGAACATCACGTATAATTAAAACATTTGACCAGTTTTCTTTTTCAATTAAATCCCGAATGTTTTTACTTCTTTGAGGAGATGTTTATAAAATTTGTCCATTACAGCAAAGTGATTTGTTATGTTGTAAGTCAATAGTTTAAAGTATTCAAAATTATTAAAGAAAAAATCTCACCATGAGTGTTCTGCATTAAACCCAATACGAGCGTTACTTCCAATGCAGAGTGTAAAAGATTTATCAAACCACCTGTCATATCCTTTACCGTGCAACAAGTGCCTTCCATACTGGTCCAATTTTGATGGTTCTTTCTAAAAAACCAAACAGTAAAAATACAGATCTGGAAATGAAACTTTAAAGAGCCTAACACAAAAAAAACACTTACTGGATCATATTCATAAGGAACATCATCTAAGGTCACAGCAAATGCCGCCTTTTCAATAACGTCCAATGATGTTCTATTAACGCCTTTATTAAATAGCTGCATTCTGATGGTGGCCCAATGAGTTCTTTCGCCCGCTGTTAAAGCTGCCAGTTGTTCTTCTCCAGGCAATGGTTCAGATTCGTCATCCAGAATTTGTTGTAGCTGACTGAAAATAAAAGTAAAATATACATACAAGTTTTGACTCTAGGTTGAAGTAACATTCAACAGAATTTTTTATTCACTACATACAGTACATTTGTAGCGAGTCATAAATAAAGTAGGATCCAATAACAAAATTAAAAAAAAACATCAAAATATTGATTGATTTAAATGCAGTTACGAACTACGAATAACATAAGTTAAAATGGTCTGTATACCGTATCTGCTATTGAAAAATTTCAAATACAGTTCGCTAGTGTTGAAGCGAAAACTGCATTAATTCTAGAAGGAAACGAATAATATCAACATTGCCAACATCCCGGCTGCGTGGGGATATCTGTTGTTGTGTCTATTAGCAATTCACATCACACAGCGCAGAGCGCAGACAGACGGCATGATATAAACACGAACGGTCAACAGTCACTGCAGACACGATACACATATCGTGCACCGGTAATTATCCCCACGAAGCCAGGCAGCCGTTTGCTGACAACGTTGTTATTTTAGTTTCCTGCTTGCACTAATGCTAGCTATCTGTAGTTTTCGCTTCGACGCTAGTAAACTGTATTGGAAGGTTTTCAATGGCCGATACTGTATGTTCACATTCACTGGCCAAATGGAAGCACATTTCAAGAAGAAACCCTTTTTCTTTAAAAAAAGTTTAAATGTTTTAAATTTGATAATAAAATATTGTATAAATTCAGTGACTTAGATATTCGAAATTATTGTTTTCGTATTTCAAGTTTGTTTAGTATTATAATGGTCGACATCATTTTGCTAAAGTAGATTTGCCGTATTTTTGTGAATTTCGAGAACTGAATTAAAAATAAACGGATGGTAATATCGTATTTAATTTTTTTTTAAGATAGGTTGACAGTACTCACGGTATCTAACATTCGCTATAATTCTCATGGCTTTCTTTTGCATGCGAAATAACTTAATTGCCTCTATACGAATTACCCCAAAAAATAACTTATTAACCTATCTGAGAATGAAACAATGAAAAATACTCCGTTTTTAAACATTCAAAATAGGTAACTACGTGCCAAACGCTGAAGCAAAAACAACACACTAGATATTCTTTTAGCAACCATATCGATATGAAAGGTCTATTAAGTTTTATTTCTAACAGTTCCGATTAGGAACTATCAGATACAAAATTAAGATCCTGAGTTTTTTCATCATTTAAGATAGGTAAGCTTATTAGCACATAACTATTTTTTTGACAGTTCAATACTGCTCATAGTAGAATTTGACAGACAAGATGGATATTTTCCAGTTGAGATAAAAGTCGTATCATCGGAAAAAATAATAGTTTTTCAAGGGCACATATACACACCACACAAAAATTATCGCATCACCAATGCTTTTAAATATTTTGGCTACAGTAAAGTACTCCCTGAATGGGCATTCTTTACTGATAAACTCGAGTCAAAAAGCTGGTCGTTTCTTCTTAGGTTCTTGTTTACTTTTTTCGGGAGAATGCGGATAGGGCATACATTCCACTTTGCAATTAAGTATGCTGTTCATTTCTGTGTTTTCTGCTTTGATATTAAGTTGTACGATAAAGGTGTATACTATGGCTGGTCCACAACGTTTAACTCGCCATTTGACAGATGAAGAGGCCGTCAGAGTAATTGCGCTGATTGAAGATGGGCGAAGTCAAAGGTACGTGGCGGATTTATTGGGTGTACAACAGAGTACCATTTCAAGAGTTGTTCAAAGGCATAGGGAGACTGGACGGTAATCTAGAAGAGAGGGCCAAGGTCGTCCTAGAGTTTTTTACGACTTTCAGCCCTAATAACACGACACTGCACTGCTCGAATGCTCCAGAATGACCTTTTAGCTGCCCGAAATGTTCGGATTTGTGTACAAACCGTACGTAATCGTCTTTGAGAGCATGATATACGTGCAAGGGTCCCAGCCAGTGACACGCGTCTTACCAGAGAACATCGAGTTTGCCGTTTACAATTGGCTAGAGACCATGTGGATGTGGTGTAGAAGAATGGTCCAATATCCTATTTACAGACGAGTCCAGATTTTGTTTCTCTTCAGACAGACGTATGCCAGTATACCGAAGACCAGGCGAGCGACATTACCAATGCAACTTTCGTGAAAGGGAAAGTTTTGGAGGTGGGTCAATAAGGGTATGGGGAGGAATATCTTTTCATGGGCGAACGGAGTTAGTAGCTGTTAATATTGGTAGGATGATGGCTGACCGATACATAAGGGATATTCTAGAACCTCATTTGGTTCCATACGACCCTTGTATTGGCGAAAATTTTGTGCTAATGCACGATAACTGCCGGGATAGTGCGGGAATATCTTGAGAAGGTAAATATTGCTACATTGAATTGGCCAGCTCGCAGCCCAGACCTCAATCAGATAGAGCACGTATGGGACCACTTAGGTTGGGCGATCCAGCACTGTCAAGCTCCATTCAGAACCCTTAATGAGCTTCAACATGCAATAAACGAAATATGGAACAACATGGAGCAAGAATACATACATAGGTTGTTTGAAAGCTTACCAAGGCGAATAGAGGCTGTGATAAGGGCAAGAGGAGGCAATACAAGATACTAAAAAAATTGAATTTTTCAAAAAATTTCATATTTATCGAAGAATTTAATTTTTGTAACGAAGGCAATATTATGTCCGTTTTTTGGTATTATTTATTTACCCTGTACATATTGATTTAAAATGAGAAATTTTATTTATGATTTATGTAATTACAAATGTTCAATATGAATTAAACCAAAAAAAAATGTTTAAAAAAGTACATGGCCAAAATATTTAGAAATATTAGTGATGCGATAATTTTTGTGTGGTGTGTATTTACTTGGATCATTAAAGTATATGATAAACAGTATAGAGGCCCAAGAACAGAACCTTATGGCACTTCATGGCTAATCGGTATAAACTTAGATGTGTGGTATACTAAAACAAAAAATCTTTTGGTTTATAAAAAAAACTTAAAATAATTTACCTAAAATATCCCATCGGGAGAAGACAACTCGAACTTACTGAAATATATATTTTGCGCGAATTAATCACAATGCTTTAATCTCAATGGCGATAAATAATTGTTTAGTTCTAAAAAATATTAATTTGTAAATTAATAGTATTGTAAGGATAACATTTGTTAAATGAATCAGCTATATTTTGAGATTACCGAAAAATTTGCCATTAGTGCTCAATTTGACGATAGCCGCCGAGTTTAGTTTCCCCAGTAATAGGGATTAGACGGACGACGGTTGCATGGTGTCGTTTGATTTTTTTTATATTTTACTATTTTTAATGTTGATTTTCGATATAATGTCCTTTCGATCTAATGAGTTTTAGATCTATTGTCTTTTCAATAAAATATATCTTCGATCAAATGTTATTTAATAAAATATATTTTCGATAAAATGTATTTTCAATCAATTTCCTATTCGATCAAATATTTATTTTCACCCATATTATGAAAAGTTTGGATCAAAATTATTTTCCTAGCACCTGATTATGTCACATTACTTTTATTTCTTAAAATAATCTGACCTGTGGTCAAAAAGTTAATTTTTGGTCCAGCCATCCGTTTTAACGGGATAAGTGTGACTTCGAAGGGTCATCCGTTCAAACCGCATCAGGCAAAATCGGACGCGGTAAAAACGCATTGTCTGACAACGCACTAAGGCCGGGACTATACATAGCGTTTTACTGGAAGCGTTTTAGCGGGACCCGTTTGACGGGACAGGTACAACACATTGTTTTAAATGGCGCCGTTTATACACCTGCTGTTCTGCCGCATTTAAAACAATGTGTTGTACCTGTCCCGCCAAACGGGTTCCGCTAAAACGTTCCCGGTAAAACGCTATATATAATCGCGGCCTTATGAGTTATAAAATAAGCCACAGTCTGCAGTTCCGCCACATTGCAATCGGATTAGGGTGATAGCACGGGGTAGGAAGGGTGTAAAATAAATAAATAAATAAATACTAAAATAAAAACTTTGTGAACTCAATCATTCATTATATGGCGATGATACCATGTTTTTGAGATAAATTTACTACCTTCTAATCTAAAAACATTCGAATGCTAGGCTGGAAAACAAAATGTAAAAATGGAGGATAGAAAAAAAAATAAACGTAGCTATAATGAAGAATAATAGGTATGATTCACAATATAGGAAAAAACCTAGTTTTCAGTAGGTCATTATGAATTTTGTACATTTGTGTATTTATGTTAATTATGATAATGTATAATCGATGTTATGTGAGGTCAATAAAAATGTTTTGAAGTCAACAGCACGTTTATTTTTCTAATAAATTCTTATCAGGATTCCAATAAACATCAATAAAAGTATAGAAAAAACGCCAAGAGCGTTTCTATAATCCTTAGGATTGAATGGCACTCAATATTAACGTATCTTACTTAATATTAAAAAAATAATCAGGTGTCCGAGACTTTATACGTGTTATCATTGTTAATTTTACAATTAACTTCGGGGGATTGAAAAACCCACTTACATTTTTTATCAAAACTCATCAATCTATTCCGAGATTTTATGTTTCCATAATTTAGGCATTCATTGTACATAAAAAGTTGTTGTTTTCCTCTCTATTTATACATGAATTAATTTACTATAAAACGCTTTGAAGCAAAACTCTAGAGTTAATAAACATAAATCTTGAAAAACCTTTTATAAAAAAAGTATAGTTTTTTTTATAACGGTGTGGCCGTTTGTTGTAGTGGCCATGGAGAAAATAATTTTTAACACTCTAACTTTGATTCCTAAGAAAAAAGTAATTTTTAGACTGGTTTCGTCCTTATTAGGGCTCATCAGTAAGACATAGACAATCTGGCACAGCCGACAGACTATATTAGAGACTAGAGTCAATATTGTCTACTCCTAATAAGGACGAAACCGGTCCGAGAATGACGTTCTCCTTAAGGGCAAGTTCAACGCGTTGTCAATGACAATTGACGGCGACTTTTTATCACAAAAATATATCTCTGAATATTTTGAGAAATTGTTTTTGAAAATGGGTTCAGAGTACGGTAAAGAATGGTGAAAAGTCTATAGTTTGTTTTACTTTTAATGTATAATATTTTAATAAGTGATATTTAACAAAAGCTAAAACGCAAAATACACTCTTTTATATTTGCCCTAATTGTTTCAGGAAACTTGTTAATATTTAAAAATATATTGGTTCCAATTTGCAACTGTGCTAATTTTCGACATACGTTTTATTAAACTCATCGTGTTATGTATTTGTTGACATTAAGAGATAGACATTTAAAGTGACGTCTTGTATTACTTCGAATTAAAAATCGTTTTCTAACCTAAGAAAAAAGTTGAACTTGGCCTTAAGAAGTAAAATAAAGTTAGAGTGTAAAAATTATTTTCGATAACTGCTAATAATGCCTGTTGCTGTATCAGCCAAATGAATAGTTTTTTTTTCATGAATGAAACGTTTGCTTGATGTTTCTGTGACACGGACTTGAGTATTTCTCTTTTCCCTTTGTTTTTTATTTTTAAATTGCACATTTAAGAAACTGAATTTATTTCCTCCCTTCTCTATAACGTTAAAAACTGAAAGGTAATATCACAAAAACAAATAAACAGTAATGTAGGAAACTGTATTTTAAGAAACAATATATTTATTAAGAGTAATATCACGAATCCTACAAATTTTATCGATTGAATTTTTAATTTCCACGAAAACGATTTTATTTGGAAAAACCTCGAAACCAAACCTATTTTATATTAAATCAGTTTGTTTGAGTGGTTTTGCCAGGAATAAAATTTAAAAGGACGAGAGGTATTTGAAATGATTATTTTTTAAATCATTTTGTATGAAAAAGACACAAAAAACATATTTGGAGAAGTGTTTATTAAATTTATAAATATTTGTTTATTTTATAGTAATATAAAGTCCTTTATAGACTAAAAAAATAATAAATACGGCAACACCGTATTACTGTACGAGAAAGAATGGATAGGCGGCAGGCATGCGCGCGGCGAGAAAGTAGATTAGTAGATTACTCTCCGTTTACGAGACTGACATAAGACATTTGTTAATTTTTAATGTTTTTACTGTGATTTCAGTGTCTTAAACTATGAAATGGAATATATCTATTTAATTTAACTAATTTAGAATTGTTTTTTTAAATTATGTTTAATTGATAAAAATTGAGTGTTTAAATGAGTTTTATGAGTGTTAAAAGTAATTAAACAAGCAAAAACAGGTTAGTATATTACCGATTTTAATATTGCAGAGTAAAATTTTATTAATAATAATTTTTAAATTTGGGTATTAATATACACAAAAATTATGGTTAGTTGTCAGTTCAAAAGGTAAACAAAGACTTATCGAAAAACAAAAACGAAGAAAACTCAATGATTGGTTAGGATAGCTGATATCACAATATTTGACTATTTTGACATGAAAAAAATAATCAAATACAAAAATAAAATCTAAATGATTAAAACTTTTGTTTCTAGTATATTGTCTGTTCTGTAGAAACTAAAAAATCCATTGTCACTCATTTACCAAATATAAATAATGACAATTTTAGTATTTATCAAAAGCTTGGACAGTTGATAAGCTTAAGCAACAAGACATTTTAGTAGGTGTTAATAAAATAACACTATGAAACAAGATTTATTGAATAGAAGTATATGACTGAATGAGAGGTAAAAGGTAAAGTATGTATATTTCATTCTTCCAGCTGTAAGCCACAGGCACCCTTAGCCTTTTTAGCCACACTAGATGGCTCAGGGCTCATCTTAGAGGATGTTACTGACCCAGCATTTGTCTATTGCTACGAGAAAATCTCTGAAAAACTCATAGCAGGTCAGGCGGCAGTGGGGCTCGAACCCACGACCTTACGAAAGCAAGGCAATCTCGCTCAGTCTGAATGAGACTGAAACACAACTACTTACAATCAAATCAAATGGCAAATGACGGCAAGTATCGACATGTTAATAAAATAAATTATTTTGGGTCAAAGAAGCATAATAGCAAAGAGTACAAAATATAACTATAAAAGAGGAGTCACTCGCTCAATTACCGCCTTCTAACGCGATCAGCCGCCAGTCCTCCACAGTTCTTTCTCGATCGGCAGTATACCGGTGTAGTTCAACGCGTAAGGCTCGTTTGCTCAGCTACGTTAGATTCCGCTGTGTATTGGCCATTGGCCGTTACATTCCACTATCACCGCCGCCGCGTCTTACCGCTTAACCCCGGTATAGCCGAATTAGCTCTGTACTCTGAAAAAACGCCGACTTCTCGGCCCGCATTTGAAGCGCGATTTCCTTTGTTAATGCCGCGAGTGACTTCTCTTTTATAGTTATATTTTGTACTCTTTGATAATAGTAAACTCATTTGATATAAACCAATGGTTTAGTGATAAAATAGCATTTCTTTTAATTTATGATATTTTATCTTCAGCTGTAAATATGATTTGTTAAATAAAATGTAATTATTCTTGTGTACATTTGGCGTTAGAATATGTAGTTTAAAAAGCGAGATTTTCATATAGTGAACCGATGTAAAGTGATGACACTGGGCTATTATATTTTTTTACGGTTAATCAGTAACCAAAAAGAATTGAAACAGAATTAGTAGACATGCTCTTTTAATTATATATATATTTTTAGGATGCATGCACAAAAATTTTAATTTGTGTTTAACATCAGTTTCTTCATACATGCAGATAATTACCGTTGTCTGTCGAAAACTATAGAGCAGCAAATAGAGCTTAAAACTTTAGAATTATATTTTAACGATTTATCTTAAAGGCAAAAGCAATAAAAAAATTGTGTAATCTGGATCATCTTATTTTCTATATTACGTACATGCTAAATACATTATGTTACTTAATAAAATTCTGCAAAATATGCACTTAACATAATTTATGGTCGAGAATTACATTGGGTTCTACATAATAGGTAATGCTAAAAAAATATAAATAACTTACATTTGAATTTCGCAGGGCTTCAATATCCTTCCCTTGTATATAATAACCTTGAAGTAACGACCTTTGTGGTACACAACTATGTGGTTAGAGTCGATCCAATGGATAATTTTATCAGTCTCTTTCCCAGGAATTCTAGTAGTATTAAAAATTCTCTCGTACTGCCAAGAACACAAAGGCACAAGGCCTTGGACTAGAATCGGTTCCAATTCCTGTCTTTCAACCAATCTTCGGAAGACCAACAATGTGTAAATGGTTGATGCTGCCCTAGCGGCTTGGTTTTTGGTTGGATTTAGTAACACGGCATCTATGCCGTAAAAGTTCGAGTTGATCATCAAGGGAGATCTACCTCTGAGGTAAACGTATTCTTCCCACCAATCGGAAACGTAGTTTGTGGACCACCAAGATTTTAATATGAGGTAGCGTTGGAGCTTTTTGCCAATGCCGATTTCAAATTCGGCAGCTAATTTTTCCATTCGTTTGTATTTTTCTTCGTCTAGTAATGCTTTGACACTTTTTAAATACTGTAAAAAAATGTTATGTGATATTTAGTCAGATTTTATAGACAAAATAGTAATGAAAAACGTAATTATCGGGGGTAAGTATAAAGGATGGGCAACCGGTAACGTCTCTATCTGTAGAACCAAAACTATTTGATTTTTAAATCATTTTTCACAGCGAGATGTATATCAGAAAAGGCTACATTTTCAACATAATTTCAATTATGGTTCTCCAATAAAGTGATTCATATCAAAGTTAGTTTTTTTTTAAAGGAATTTCATATAAAACTAGTTATAACGTGAGAAATATCCTGTATAATCCCATACTATTTGGTATTGTAATCCAAAAAGTGAGGGCAATTCAAATATAAAATAAAAAACAGGGTGTTCCATTAAAAAATCCTAACTTTGATATGTATCACTTTCCTGGAGAACCCTGTATAATTGAACTTATTTTAAAATTGTTTCCTCTTCTGCTATACATCTGGCTGCGAAAACAGATTTAAAAAAAGGAATTAGTTTTGGCTCTACAGACCGAAACCTTTACGTGGCCCACCCTATATAATTTTCAATTGTATGGAAGTTTTACCTATGAAGACTAGAAATAAGGAGGCGGATCGGCATACTCGAAATATGGTTCCAAAAAACGAACGCTAATTGAGCTTTTTTAATTCACCGAAAGGGAGCTGTTGCAAGTACCGCTATTCAAGATACATGGCTTTTTAAGGGAATATTACATAATTTTGTCAAAATAATAAAAATAAACTTGTTTATTGCCAAATAAAGTACAGAATTTAATGTTTTTAAATAAGTCTCGCATGTTTTAATTGATAAATTATTTAATTTTATCTATATAAAATGCAATTTAGGTAGGTATGACTCAATTCGAGCAAATTTGTTAAATGGTGAAATTTGGTAAGTATAATTTTGTGTCTATTTTTTTTTTTAATTATACCTAAAGCGTTTAGGATCTTATAAAAACATTTACAATGACAAAAAAAAAACAGTAGCAACTCTTTATCTAACATTAAAACTATAAAAAAACAAATTTTCTTTTCTATGTACAGTTCATCAAATTTCTAGAGGTGTTCGACGCCCAGACAGAGAACGCGCTACGTGTGACTAAGATAGCTATTGTACAGTCTGCTAAACAAGTTATTTTAAATAGTTTTTAATATTTTTAGGTAATTAAATTTTAAAAGTGTGGAATAGTTTAGGGATTAAATTGGTCTGATTGGACTTTCTTAGAACGTTTTTAAAAGCAGCTAAAGATAGTATGTAGAATTGAAAATAATTATTATGCCATAAAAGGTGTTTTGGAATTCCTTCAACCTTTTGAAATTGAGTCAGAAAATATTAATTTTATAGGATAGCGGAAAATACCTATAATTTTTTTGTAGGCCTTTGTAAATCGTGGAAATTTCTACCTTATTAAGGAAAATGGTACCTATTATTAATAACGGTTGTTTCTGAAACATTACTAAAATTTTCGAAATTTTGTTTTTCTACAAAATAATAAACTATACTATTTAGAAAAAAATTTATTTCTCTTATAATTTTATAAAAAATAACAGGGGAATATTTACATTTCTTGATCTATTAAACAAAACGATAAATTATCTCGACGAATGACACCATGTTCTATTACGGAAGCTAGCTTTACATTTTTGTTGGTGGTTTCATGGGTTTCATTAATTTGCTATTAAACTCCATACTTAGGTTCTATTAAACTGTAATGAGCAAAAAACACAAACAAAAATAAAAGAAATGTTTTAGTGAAATTTACATCTGACATTTACGTCTGAATGAAATAGTGAAATACTTGATGCGCAGAGTGTACTTTCATTGCGTAAATCCGTCGGGATGCCTGTCAGTAGTGCTTTCTCTGTCTAGCCGTCGAAAGCCTCTAGAAATTTGATGAACTGTAGTTAAGTTAAATTTAATGTATAATTATTGTTGTTTGTAATTCAGGATCTATGACTATAAAATTTTATTTTATAGAAACTTGTAATAAAATAAACTACACTCCGTGATACGTGTTGTGACTAGTTTACAACAAATATTATATTTAGACATAAATACATTATTTTACTTGCATTAAAAGCTTTAAAAACACATTGAATTGATTTCTCCTTGTGTTTTCTTTAGTTTTACATGTGATTTGTATCCTGTTTTACAATGTGGAACGTAGTAAGTCTTGCTTTAATGCTTTTTATTACTCATTTTACTTGTACTCGGGTACTTTTTTTACATTATTTTGATTCTTTTCACGAAGTTTTTAAAAAATCACTTTATTTTACTTTGACTTATATAGAAAATGAACAACACTGACGTTCGACCTGCCAACTACAGTCAATTTAGCGTACTTTATAAAAAAGGACAGAAATTTGAAATTTGATTATTGCCGATTCGCCTTCTTATATCTAGTCTTCATAGTTTTACCATTCATGGGAAACAATTGAGGGCCAAGAGAGTGAAAGAATGTCGAAAGCTTGCTAGAGCGATTTTTTCTACTTTACTTGACTCGTTGATTATCATGATGACATGATTTTAGACAATTTTATGACATAAGTAAGAACGTAAAAACCTAATAAATAACACCTTGAGTCTAAAATTGCTTATTTTTTGTATTTCATTATCCCTCGTGAAAATAAATTCTTTCAAAAAACCTCTAACAATATTAATGACCCCCATGGTTACATAATAAATAATTAACATCAAAGTAAAAATGGATTTCTTTTGTAATTTCTCAATACAAAATTATAATCATTATTCTGACTTAAATAATTTAAAAAATCTTCAAACTTTTTATTAATGAGGTCAAAAATAGCCTTAAATAAACTGTTTTTTTAAGTTAATTGTAACTTGTAATTAAAACACTCTACTCATATTTTTTAAACGTTTAATAATGATAATACTAATTTTATAATTTAATTGAAATAATACTCTCCCTAATTCACCCTCTTACGAGTGAATTTCAACCTCTGAAGCCGACTGAGCTTGTGTAGGAAAGAGGCCGATAGTATTATTATTTGCCGTGGCGCAAGTGGCGTATTTTTCCGAAAACTTGGCCAAAATCCAAAAATAGAATAATAAAATATAAATATGATTGCAACAGATTCGTAAATGGTAGAAAAAAAATTCCGTCTCCACTGTGCTATAACTGTAACCAGATTATATCTAGCGCCATCTTAGCAACACACTGTTTAAAGTTCAAGTATTTCAAAGAAAATTTATTTAAAATTGTTGTTTTATTTGCTTGTTTTTTTATTTTAATAATATTATGGATTTTGTAGCTGGAGGTAAGAGCAAGGTAGTTTAAAAATTATAATAACATTTATGACTACATGTTAAATAAGAATAGTAGTTTGTGCAACAAGACTGGATATGGATAATCCACTCGAGTTGTTAAGTATATTTTTTCTACTACCCACTTACGAAAATCTTCAAATTTAAAAATTATTTTAGGTTATTAAGACAAAATAACTAATTTTTAAATTATTTATGATTTTTATTAATTTATAAAATAAAATAAACATAAAAAAAAGATTTAATTTTATTAGTCCCCGCCAAGAATCGAACTCCGGTCTCTCGTGTGGAAGACGGACACCATCTTCTTATCTCCACCGTGAGATTTGCAAATTTAGTTCTAATATTCGAAATTAGTTTTATATAGTTCGATTAAAATTTTAAATTTATTTCAAAATGTGGACAAAACATATAAATAGAAATGCTATTATTTATCGATTCTACACAAAAATTACTAATTTTAATGTATATTTAATCCTAATAACTAAAAAATATACTAACAATTAGTTTGACAGAATTGTCACTCATTTAAAATTTTAAAAATAATAGCAGTCGGTTGATCAAAATATGAACTGTGATTGGTGTATTTAATTTTTTTGCAGTGTTTACACTACCTAGAATGAATATGAAATATATTCGTTCAGTTAAACGCAATAACATACTTTTTTGATAGGTAGTCTGTGCGTAGATAAGCTAATATCCATGTGGGTGTAGAAAAATAAGTTTATCAAACTAGCAGTCACAGTTTCTGGTTGTTTTACAATTATTTATTTTACGTTGACCAATGATTATGATTTCTGTCGTATTATTGTAATTAACTTAATGGTCAGTAAGTAAGTAAGTGTCATCAGGACTTCATTTTTAACACCATGTATCTCGGAAAAGAAACGTTTTCGGACCTATGTTTATATGAACTATTACTCCTATTTTAGGATGTAAATTACACTGTTAAAATATGACCGTCTAATTTTGGGACACCCTGTATATTTATGAACGTGTCTATTCATCGGGGCGCTCCGTTATATAGAAAAATGTACTATTCATCGGGGCGTGATTGCGCATGCTTTTTTTTCGCCCTGAAGAATAGAATGTTCCAAATATCAGTCACCTTACTGATATTATGCAAACGAAGCGAAAAATAAAAAAAATCAAGAGATAAAAATTGTATATTGGGTAAAGGTGTTATTATTTTTGTGTAAAATTCCAATTGACTTGCCCGTGGGCATCTTCCTACAATATCTAGATCAACTCTAATACTGCCCTGCTTAGCTAGAACATCCTATCTGATATGAGGAAAATTTTTGAGATATTAATGATTTTGTTTAAATATTGTCCACTATGTAAATATTAGGATGAAACTGAATGTAAGAAACAAGTGCTTTATATCTTTAATTTGTAGTTAGGACGTTTTTTCGTAGAAAAACATTGTAGATGCGTGTCTGCATCACAAATATGCCTTTAACTCACAAACTGAAATTTTGTCAGATTGGACGTTTTAGCTAAGCAGGGCAGAATACGTCTAAAAAAAACTTAAACTAAACAGGGTGGCTCATTAGTGTGCGGAAGTTCAAAAGCTCGAGGTTTTTTGAAAATACGAGAACATGTCAAATATAAAAGTTTTTTGGTTCACAGAGGTCTATTGTAAAAATATTTTCCAATTTTCCCAAAAAACAATGCATAAAAACTTTTTTTTCAAATGGAACACCCTGTGTAAAAAATCTAAGTACTTTTGTCTAAATTCAATTGTTTTCAAGTTTTTGACATTAGATAATTGACTTTTTTACAATATTGTAGTACCCAGACGCCTGAAGTAAGGGGTAAAATGGTTTACATGTCATGTCTTAGTTTTTCATATCTATATCCTAGATATTATGTCAACTTTTGGTTTAACTGAATATAAAAAATAATTTAATTTCTGGTTAAACAGGAAGTGGATTATTTTATTGCTTTTTATTAGTATAGTGTATAAAAAAAAAACTAAGAAGACGGGGACATGTGAATCGTTTTACCGTTTGGGTGCTACAGCTTGTCAAATAGTGAAAAACTTAATTTTCGAATGTCAAAAGCTTGAAAACAATTAAATTTACACATATTATTGTGTTTCAGATAAAATAAATTAAAATACAATCAATTTGAAAATAAAAAATTTATTCTACCTTGCTTTTTGGGGAATATTTTACAAAATATTTTTACAAGTGCCTCTTCGAACCGTAAAACTTTTGAATTCAAAATTTTCTCGTACTTTTAAAAACCACCGAAATATTGGATTTCCACACATTAATGGGCCACCCTGAATATTTAACCAATCATAATTTATGTTTTTGAGCACCTGAATATTTATATTTTCGTTTATGAACACACATATACGTAATATTGTAGTAAACAAATATTTATTAATTATTTTAATTCTATTTTTGTACCTTTCTTTAACAAATTTTGTCCATGGTTTTTGCGAGAACACGATTAAGTTGAACAAATTTTTTCGTTGATACGAATGCAATACTTCTTCATACGATTGGAATGTAGTTTTCACCAAGTTTTCCCTTATGGTAATCTAACATCAATATTTGATGACGAATTAAACGATAGGTAGGTACTGCAGAACTATTCGCCATTCTACATGCTCTGATTCACATAAATAATAATAAACCAAAAGCAATCATAATATCAGACTCTCTAAGTGCCATTCATACAATAAACCAACTTTATACTAGTCATCCCATAGCCCTCGATATCAAATTCGAGTTCGAAAAAATAAAAAAAATTAAGTATTCCGACATGCACACAGTATCCTTAGAAATTAAATAGTTACACTGGTATTTTAAGGAACCACTTTATTAGCCCTTTTTCATTGATGGTAAACTTAATGGTAAAAAAAATTAAAATTTAATTCAAAATCAAGTTATTATTTTTCACGATACCCACGATAATTTATGTATTACTAAATCGGAAGTGTCTATGAGCTCGCACGCTCGCAGGGGAGGTGGTAGTCGTACAGAAAATATAGGATGGATGTTCACTCGCAGTGCCTATAGCCTACAGCTCGTATAATTTTTTCTTAATCTGTATAAAGAGGATGAACGATAGGAGATAGACGAAACATGTTTATAAGACGAGTATGGATGGGAGAGTTGGAAAGGGTCGACCTCAGTGAACGAACTTCAATCAGATTGAGGACGATTTTAGCAAAGTCCAGCTTAACAGTACCCTAATTAAGTTAACAACAATGTACCTATCTATATAGTTTAGGTTTAAAAAATTTGGCTCTCAAAAGAAGTTTCAGTCGTTTTACTGTTGATATTTGGCTCTGTTGACTAATGAGTTTGCCGACCACTGCTATAGTGGATCCATGGAAATACATACCTACCAACAGATCTCAGCAGATTACGCCTAGGTCACACAAGACTTACGCACGGTTATCTAATCTCTAAAACTGCTCCCCCTAACTGCGAACTGTGTAACTTACAACTCACAGTTAAACACAATGCCCAAAATATCAAGCTGAACGATCAAAAACTAACTTAAATAATAATTTAAAACTAGTTCTAGGTGAAAATTGTAATGTAACCAATATTTTTAAGTACTTAACCAACATTAACCTATTATCCAAAATATAATGTTAAACTATGTCGCTAATAACCCTAGAGGTTGATGCGACTTTTTTGTAAAAAAATATCTCAAAATATTTATTTTTCTATTTATTTTAATAAATTACAAATTAGTAAAGAAAAAGCTTTAAAGTAATTTATCTCAAAATGGCTGATTTATGTTACACTTTTAAACTGGACAGCGATATGCCTAGTATATGCTAAATTTAAATACTTAGCATATACTTATTACGTACTATCAAATGAAAGTAGATACTTATTGCATACTGTAAACATACTTGAAGTACATTCTCAGTATCTGCACAGTACGTATAAATGACGTCCCGTAACATATACTTAATATATTCTGAGAATGTACTAAATGCAAATAAAGTATGTTCTCAGTAGGTATATGCATGTTCTTAAAAAAATATACTAAGAATGTATAATTGTTATCTGAGAAAGAAACGTTTCTGGAATCATTTCTCATAAGAACGTTTTAAAAACATCGTAATTATGAATAGGTAATATTTTTAAGACTAATTGTTCTATAAAAAAAGTAATGTATATCTGCGGTAATAATGAAGCATATTAAATATTACAATAGTATTATAAATGTTACATGTCTTCCGATATATAACATTGTTCCTTACATGTACTTAACCCATATTACATCATCTATGAAGAACCTATTATTTTACAAAATTAGGTAATTTTTTTGTTATGTAACACGGATATGTAAATGATATATATGTTATTTGTTTGTGTTTGCTGGTCACATATTAAATGCATAACTAACCCACTTTGTCGAATTCACACTTTATTTACAGAAAAAACTCAGCATACAATAAAAAATTACATCCTTAACCAATTTTTTTACAAATCTTTTCATATGCAAATGAATATTTTGTAACTTTATATAAGTATTCAACTAGCAAAGTGTAAATAAGGGTACTTTACTCTTGAGTGCATTTTTGATTTCCCTCGTATGAAGGCATTTATTTAATTTAGTATTTAATTTTAGACAAAGCACCAAATATTATTAAAAATTCATCTTATTAAGAAAACGGTAAAAAATGAGTCTCCCTGTATATATAATTTATATTTCTGTAAAATGTAAATATGCATGATAATATATTTTCCTCTAAATTCAAGACAATTTTAAGATATGGCAACACGGCGTCGAAACTTTCGCTACTTTTGCTCCATCGGACACCTATGACTTAGGACCTGAACTAAAATGCAATATGGACGCAGCGAAATTTTCAATTTTTTATGAAATCGTATTTTGTGCGGAGTTTAAAAAGTACACAACATTGATTATTAAAATTTGGCACGAATATTCAAAAAAATATGTAGAATGATAACTGCATCTGTGACTATCACTTTTTATATTTTTTAATAGTATTTAATAATTAGTAGGACAAATGAAAATGTCTCATTGCAATCATTAAATATTTTAAATATTTCACTAAAATCCATCCAGTGAAAGATAAGTTCTGTAAAAAATCGTAAACCTCTCTTTTGACCACGTAAAATACACTGAAATGGCGGCCTTAAGGTAAGTTATTTGCAAAATAATAAAAGGGCTGATGTTTGGAACAGAATTATATTCTTCGGGGAAGATAATAAGCATGCGCAAGTACGCTCCTTAGAATAGTATATTTTCCTATTAGACATGGCCTATATTTATTGATAAAGCTATATTTATTGATAAAATTACAACTTCGAGATTTTTATTGACTTTACGGTTTGGAGGTCGGAGCGTAGAAAGGGAAAAACGAATTCGGAATAAAAAAAATATATAAAAATCAAATAATTTTTTTTTTAAGTATATATTGAGAAAAATTATCTTTATTTCCCTGAAATATATTCTCAATGGTGTACGTTAAAGGCTTAGGCAATTACAAATTTTAAAAATTCAGCGGCAACGATTTTTGAATTTTGGCCAAGAATTTTGAAATTTCAGCCTCTATGCTAATAATAATAGTTTTTTAATTCGACAATTATAATTGTTTTTAAATAATGCATTAATTGTTTCATCATGTCATAACTAAGGACGTATTTAAAATCAACAGTGGAATTATTTATTAAAGAATAACTTACCCTTGTCATTGTATCATGTACATCAGGTAGTGGTAGTCTGGGTAATGATCCCTGATAACTGTATAATCTCGGGGTGTTCCAACAACTAAAAATTTTTATGAAAAATAACCACACTCTAGTTTGTAGAGATGGTTTACTACCTTTAGCTCTAGACTCGTACATCCACCCTTTGTAAATAAATAGTATTTTCAAAATATATCTAAGAATGTATATTGCTGTCAACCAATACAATAGGGAAGTTAGGAAGCAGGCAGTTAAAAACCAAAAAATTGAGTTTCTGAAAAAAATTAAAGACGAAATATTAAAATTAAAATAGGAATGGACACTTTTTCATACGAACAGTATTGATAATGTTGATGATGGTCCAAACAAGAAATTCCTTTAAATGTTTTTTTTTATTTTGACGTTTTTATTCCAAATTCTTAAAGACCGTCCCCTAATATAATTTTCATCATTAAATACTTATAACTAATCAACTTTTTTCCTATTTAACCGGCCATACTCTCCTTATAAAAAAGTGTCCACCCTAAATAAGGATCATTTTATCATTTCTTTTGTTATCCAGCCTATTCAAATTATTTCAAATTTTCTTTTTTTACCCTCTAAACAAGCCGAATTCTAAAAGTCTACACCATTTTCCAGTGGAATTTTCTTATTAAGGCTCTAATTGAAAATATGAAATGGTTGAACTAATATGAGCCAAAGCATGTCCTTAGTTTTGTATATTTTATAATAGGTATACTTACTCTGGAAGAATTTGTAAAAATCTGTCAGTTATATTAAAAGGCACTGAAATTCCAATCCACTGAAATGCCGTCACTAAACCCATCAATAGAAACAGGTACCTATAGTGTCCTGGATAGACACCATTGTGTATGCTATTCTGTAAAAAAATATAAAATAAATAAAAAAAAATTAATTTAAGGTTCATACGATATTTTTAGGGTCGCATATATCTTGGTATAAAGAATTACTTTTTGGTAAATGTACAAGGAAAAATCTTCGATGCTGTCTTGGAAATACCACAAGAATAAATATAAATAATGACACCACACTGTATAAACAACGTATTTAACGAAATAAATATATTTCCTATAAATATTGCAAAAAAGGATGTTTAGTTTAATTATTTTAAAATATTTGTAATTGTTTCTATGAAAATTATTAATGAAGCGCAGAATGGAAAATAATTTACACAATTATATATAATTACTAAATTATTTATGAAAAATATGTAATTTTTAAAAGTGTTTAGTTTCTGAAACTATTAAATAACTCAATATTAAATAAATAAAAAAATGCATACCAATATATATTTGAAACGTTTTAATGACATTTCGGACATAAAAAAGCAAATGTACCTATGGGTTAAAAATTCGTAACTGCACATGTAAAATATAACATTATGAAAAAAAAAAAAAAATCATTTGTATAAAGGAACTTTGAACTAATTTAACTAATGGGTTAATTATTAGTACATACATGTATACAATAAAAATGTAGTTACACTTGTTAGACTCTATATTATTTTACTGTACCTACTATAATAATTATTACAATTAATTTTACTTCCGTGAATTTTTTAAAGTATATGCGTACAATGTGACGCATTTTTAGTGAAGAAATGTATAATTTGGTCGTTTCATAAAGGGAATAGTTACTTTTCTAACTAGTGCGGGAAGTGATAGGATAATCCAGATCAACCTCCAGCACTGTAAGGCTGCTTCGGCTGTACGTACAGTGGCGATGGGGAGGTTTGAAGTGGCCCTGGTACAGACACCCCTCGAACCTGAATAATTGTCAAAAAAGGCATAAAAATACTGCCGTTAACTAATTTCTGTTCCAGAGATTTGACAGCAGTCAGAATCAAGATTGATGCAGGAAATGGACCGAAGGAAATAATACTCGGATCGGCATATCTACCTTCAAACGATCCTGAAGTAACACCTACCAGAGAAGTGGAGGAGCTGGTGAGATTCTGCAGGCGCAACGGAATGCAGATGATCATTGGCTGTGATGCAAACGCACACCACAGGATCTGGGGGAGCACCGATACCAACGAAAGAGGCGCGTCTTTACTACAATTTATTGTGGCAAATAATTTAGACATAACAAATGTAGGCAATAAACCGACCTTTATAAAAAAAAAAAAAAAAAAAAACAGAAAGAAGGTACTCGATGTAACAAAAGCATCAACATACTTGAGTAATTTTGTTACAGACTGGCATGTGTCTGACGAAGAGAGTTTATCAGATCACAGACACATAAACTTCAATATTAAAGGTAATATTGCAAAAGAATCCCAGGAAAACAGACTGGGAGGCATACAAGGCTTTCCTGGAATGTAATCTTCCGAAGATGAGAAAGACGATAAGAACAACAACCGACCTAGAAATGGCTGTGGATGAGTTTAATGACACAGTCTCTTGCGCCTGCCCCTTAATAGCCAGGAACTCTATCAGGAAAGTTCCATGGTGGAATGATGACATTGCTATGCTAAGGAAACAGGTGAGACAAAATTTTAATAAGGCTAAAATAACCGGCGAATGGAAACTATATAGAACCATACGCACCTGTTACAACATAGCCTTACGAAAAGTCAAGAGAGAGTCTTGGAGAAGGCATAAGAATGTGCCAAGCTCCAAAAAATTATCTCAAAAGACACACAACACACAATAAAAACCCTTAAGAATGAACTGGGGGAGTACACAATCACAGGGAAGGAAATAGTAAGGGAACTATTCAGGGTTCACTTCCCTGGTGCACAAACCGTAGCACATACACCGGCTAACCGGAATCTAAACGGACTGGAAGCTCATAATAGAGCCAACAGGGAAGATTGAAGGATAGCCAAACAAGTGGTGAACTATGATAAACTGAAAAGGGCAATTAGCTCATTCGAACCATATAAATCACCGGGCATGGACGGGATTTATCCAATGATGTTACAAAAAGGTCCTTATATTTTATACAGCAGACTCTGTAACATACTCAGAAGTAGCCTGGCGTTTGGACATATACCAAAAGCTTGGAGAAATATTAGGGTAACTTTTATACCAAAACCTGGGAAAATAGGACAGGAAACGGCAAAGTCCCTAAGACCAATAAGTCTTATGTCCTTTGTACTGAAGACTTTGGAAAAACTGCTAGATAGGCATTGGTTCAGAGGCCAATATACCAAGACCAATACGCCTATAGTGCAGGAAAATTAACTGAAACAGCTCTCCATCAATTAATAAAAGGGGTGGAGAACACACTGGAAAACAAGGAGGTAATGCTGGGAGCATTCTTGATATCGAGGGTGCATTTGACAACACCTCCGTTGAATCGATCATTAGATCTCTCAAACACAAGAGAGATCGAGGACACGTGCGTGTACTGGATCGACTCTATATTAAGGGAGAGAACTATACACACAATCCTTATGTGAGAGACAATAGCGGCACGGGTACCGAGAGGATGTCCGCAGGGTGGAGTGCTGTCTCCACTCCTGTGGAACCTTGTAGTGGACGGGCTGCTTAGGGCTCTCAAGGGACATGCCCTGGGATATGCCGATGATCTAGTGATCATGGCACAGGGAAAATATAACAGAGATCGAATGCAAGAGGCTCTAAATATAGTAACAAAATGGACAGAGGTAGAAGAACTAAACATTAGCCCAAACAAATCTGACATAATTGCATTCACCCGCAGGAGGAAATGCAAGTATCCAGCTTAAGGGGGAGGTAAAATATCTCAGGGTTATGATTGACTCGAGACTTACCTGGAACCAGCATCTAGAAAAAACCACAAGGAGAGCGGAAACCTCGTTAATGATGGCAAGGCGATCCTTTGGAAAAAAAAATGGGGGTTAAAACCAGACATGGTATATTGGCTTTATAACATGTTGGTGAGACCGTTAATAACATACGCAGCTTTGGTGTGGTGGCCAAAAACACAGCAAAGGAAAGCAATAACGAGGCTAAGCAAGGTAGAAAGACTTGCCTGCCTCGGAATAACGGGGGCAATGAAAACAACCCCCACAGCTGCAATGGAAGCACTAAAAGGACTCCCACCTCTTCACTATGTGATACAAGGGGAGGCAAGATTAGGTGCTTACAGATTAGGGAATACACTGGGAAATCTTGACATTAGGCCAGGTATGTATGAGTATCTCAAGGTTAGTGACAGGAGACGTGCTAGACATGAGATCAGACCACATAACCAAGAGGTACTCTTTTAATACTCCATTTGAGGTTTTTAATACAGGAAAGAGCGGAGATCACCATAAGGGAGCCCAATGCCCAACGACAGAAACAAACCTGGTATATAGGGACGGGTCTAAGACTGCGGAAGGCACTGGGGCGGGAGTATTCTCCAAAACCCTGATACTAACCATAGCTATGCTATAGGAATACATTCCTCGGTATTTCAGGCCGAGGAATACGCAATTTTGCAACGTGCAAAAAAAAACAATGAAAGAGCTGTCGAAAGTCAGCATATTCAAATAATGTCAGACAGCCAAGCGGCACTTAAGGCCATAACGAGTCAGAAAGTTACGTCGAGGCTGGTATGGGAATGCATCGAAGAACTAAGAACACTGGCAGACCGAAATAGAGTAAAACTATTTTGGGTGCCAGGTCACTAAGGGATCGAAGGCAACGAAAAGGCTGACGAACTTGCAAAAAAAGGGTCAGAAGAAACACCGGAACTAGACACAAACCCAGGAGTACCAAGAAGTACAGTCCGGGGTTTCATAAACGATTGGATTCGGGAATAACATATTAACTATTGGGAAAGCACCCTAAATAAGGCACATCGAAAATCCTTCATAGACAGACCATGTCCCAAAAGAACTAGAGAACTACTCTTTATGAATAGGAACCAGTTGAAAGTGATAACAGGGTTCATGACTGGGTATGCGCCAGTAAAGGGACACTTGAACAAAATTGGCATGTACAACAGGGAACTCATGTGCCGACTATGTCACAAGAAACCAAAAACGGCCAAACACATACTGTTCGAATGCGAAGCTCTAGATTGCAAAAGACATGCACTTTTTGGACAACCCCAGGTTGATCCAACAACGTATAGAACCCACTCACCCAAGGATCTGTACAAACTTGTACAAGGTACAAAGGAAACAGTGTTATTCGGAGACATAGTCAGACGAGCTCAGGAAAAAAACCTTCACCTGGCCTCGTGTGGTACGTACATACCCCACGCTGTTTCTCGTCGATTTTCGATATCTAAATCTTCAAGGGATATACTTTTATACCTGGGCCAGTGGGATAGCGGTCTCAAAATAAATACCTTTTTTTAAAGACCGATGAAACGAATTATTATTCTTTTATAGTGCTGTAACAGAAGAAGACACATCTCTTTTTATCGAAAAACAAAAAAGTTTTTTTTTTGGTAAAAAACGCATTTTTTTCAAGTTTTCCGGATTTTTTATGAACGCTGATCTTTATTTTTTCAACTCTGACTATTCTACAGTTTGGTCCTATGAGTCCTATGATTGAACGTTTACGTTATCCGTAACGTACATGTTAGACCGAATTTTAAAAGTAACGAGGCAAGTTCGTACGATGGAAACCTGTTAAATTAGAACATAACAGGCGGAAAATAACAGTAATGTGTTGGAAAAAGTTTTCCATCGTACGAACTTGCCTTGTTACTGTTAAAACTTGGCCTAACATGTACGTTACGGATAACGTAAACGTTCAATCATAGCACCCAATAGCTTGTCAGAAAAAATATGTTTCAAATCCCAAAACCCTCAATATTCAATTTTTCACTGGTTGTTTTGGGTACAATATAATTTCTTCTTAGATTATTGCATAATTATATAAATAAAAAACAACCTACTGATAATTATATACGTTAACAAACACAGTTAATTAC